ACAAGCGAAATTACAAAATAGGGACGCCAAAATCAAGCAAGTACAACAATTTAAATATGTGAGAATTGTTTTAACAGAGGAAAGTGCGACATTGAAATCCGAAGACACATTGGAATAGCTAAAGAGACCTTCCAAAAGCTAAGCAGAGTATTAAGAAACTGGAAATTTTTGTTAATGTTGAGGGGTCCTCCCCTTTTTATACAAATGAATTCACCCAGTATATACATATACTACTGCAAGAGTAAGACGGGAGCAAGACTGAGGAGACAATGAGCGAGTCGAGTCCAGAGTAAAAGGTTGTAGGTAACCGGAAGAGTGAGGGTGAGGTAACAGCGTTGTAGGAGTCACAGTGAGCGAGCACGTAGACTCAGTAAAAAGTCATACAGCGATACTTCAATACCAAAGACTGTATATATATATATTTTGCTACTAACCCGTATTCCTGGAACTACTAACCTGCTTTACCAGTTTGTATTATTACGTTAATACATTATTTTCATATATTCATTCCTGGCGTTTTTTATTTATTGGTACCGGATTTCAACCCGGAATCCACAACAGTTAGAAACAAAGGAAAATACTATTAAAAAAAAAAGAGTACTGAACTGTTATATAATATCAGTCCTCCTATATGGCAGCGAATGCTGGACCATCTCGTCAAAAATGAAGAAGAAATTTGACGCGGTAGAAATGTGGTTCCACAGAAGAGTGCTGAGAATAACATGAACTGAAAATGTGAGCAACGACGAGAAAATGGAAGCAAAAAGGACATTCATACTTAACATTAGAAAGAGAGGCTTGAAATTTCTAGCGCACGTAATGAGGAAAGATGCCCTGAAAAATTAGACACACAGAAAACAAGAAGGAGGAACAGAGGAAAACAACGCATGAACTGTGTAAAGTGAATGCAGTACAAGGTTTAGGAGAGATAGAGAAAAGGAAAAATGTACGGAGAGCTACAAAGAACAGGAAATAGTGGAGAGCCATGATCACCCACGTCCTGGCAGAACAATGAACATAGAAGAACGAGTTTGTGTAAATGGTTAGCCAAACAGAGTTTAGGAGAAATAGGAAAAAGACAAAATTTACGAAGAGCCTCAAAGGACAGGAAGTTGTGAAGAGCCATGATCGCCAACGCCTTGAAAGGACGCGGCTCTTAGAAGAACCTTAAGTGTCAGTTGGGTAGCAACGGAGTTAAATCATAATATTTTTATTGCAAATGATGATAAAACATTCATGGCATTAACATTTTTACTGACACGTTTCTTGTAAGCAGATTTGATATTTCAGCCGTCATGGTGTATTTGGATGCTTTTTTTTTCTTCTTTTGTACAAATAGATCGCTGACCTTGAAGAAGCGTCCATTTTACTTGATTTGAAAGCAACGATTCTCTTTTTTGATAGGCATTTCGAAACTCTGCCTGTAAATATTTTCGGTATAAAGCGATGACCTTTTATTGGCCGCAGTCAAAGATAGCCATGATGTTTCTTTTTGCAGAAGAAAATTATACATTTACAATAAAAGAATTGTTCTATATTAAGATGAAACAAAAACTTGCACAGCTTGAGCAAAAATCCATTTAGATATGAACAGAATGAGATAGATAGATAGATAGATAGATAGATAGATAGATAGATAGATATAGATAGATAGATAGATAGATAGAAATGAACAGAGTGAGAAAGAAAGAAAAGAAAGATAGAAAGAAAGAAAGAAAGAAAGAAAAAAAGAAAGAAAGAAAATGAACAAAGCAATGAATGCCGTTTTCAAATTTCTGCAGAGTGAATTGCGTCATGCGATAGATAGATAGATAGATAGATAGATAGATAGATAGATAGATATAATTGAACAGACTGAGATAGATATAATTGAACAGACTGAGATAGATAGATAGATAGATAGATAGATAGATAGATAGATAGATAGATAGATAGATAACGAACATAGATAGATAGATAGATAGATAGATAGATAGATAGATAGATAGATAGATAGATAGATAGATAGATAGAAAATGAACAGACTAAGAAAGAAAGAAAGAAAGAAAGAAAGAAAGAAAGAAAGAAAGAAAGAAAAAAAGAAAAGAAACGGACTGAGAAAGAAAGAAAGAAAGAAAGAAAGAAAGAAAGAAAGAAAGAAAGAAAAGAAACGGACTGAGAAAGAAAGAAAGAAAGAAAGAAAGAAAGAAAGAAAGTGCCGTTTTCTAATGTTCTGGCGGAGTGAATTGCATCATGGTACTCTTTTTCTCACAGACGCTGCCCAACTGACCCTATTATACTGTGTCGTCGACAAAATCAAAAACAGACAACGCGCATGTGTGAAATTAAAAATATAAAATGGTGATAATTAAACCATCACACCCTGTATTTTTAGTCATTCTACTACAAAATGTATTGCTGGTCATTTTGCATTAAAAATGTATTCTTGGTAACTTTACCATAAATAGGTATGTTGGTAATTTTATATAAAAATATATTGCTGGTATTTTTACTATAAAAATGAATTTTTATATATTCATAGAATTTTTTTTTTCTGACAGGGATTTCACTATTTGCCCATACCTGGCAGATCATGAATTTGGTGTAGTAAGATGACAAATATTGATAGGAAATCGTGGAGAGTTGTCAACGCCTGTGTCCTGAAGGGTTAGAATCTCTGCCTGATAACAAATCGGTCGGGTTTCCATCCTGGCTTGAAGCAATCGGACATCTAGCCATACTGAGGAAAACAGCTAAACAGTCTGTCTGTGTGTATATATATATATATATATATATATATATATACATATATATATATATATATATATATATTATGAAATGGAAAAAGTCCGACAATTATTTTAAGACATTTTTATGTTTATACATTCTTTTTTATAGATACAAATATTTAAGTCAATGCTCTGTTTATAATAAACAGTATTAACAACATTTACCGGCCTGAATGTCCGAGACATTTTGATAGAAAATATGCGTCCTCCGACAAGAATCGAACTTGTATTCTATACTTTGTCCACTTCATAATGTTTGACGTCATTTGTTTACATTTGGATACGCACTGAGCAGATATGAATGTACGTAAGAGAATCATGGAAGATTCTAGTTTAAAAACAGTAAAATCTACCTTGCTAACCGAACGATCCTCTGTAGTGAAATTGGTAAAACATGTCAGGCTATATGACGGTTCGGTATAGGATTCCTGTCGGGGGACGCATATTTCTCGGATATTCAGGCCGGTAAATGTTGTCAATACTGTTTATTATAAACAAAGCATTTACTTAAATATTTGTATCGATAAAAAAAGAATGTATAAACATAAAATGTCTTAATATATATATATATATATATATATATATATATATATATATATATATATGAATAATAAGACAAGAGAAAAATACTATTCTTAGCCGACTTGTTTCTTCCACCAATGGACTTTATGATAATATAAACATTGTTTGAAAAAAATAGTATCGAGAAAATTGTTCGAAAACAATTATTCGAAAAATTTCAAATTGTAAATTGTTTGAATGAAAATTAATCGAAAGGACAATTATATTAAATGATAATTATTCGAAATACAAATACTAAACAATTTAGTAAGAAAAATCTTTCTAACCTTAAGTTGTATGCAAACCGAAGATGCCACTAATGTTTTTCATTTACGTCGAGGTAATACTTGATGTTCTTGATATTTTGGCAACCATCTCTTACTTTGACAATATGAATTTCTTGCAAGTCTTGTTCTCTTTTAAGAGCGTCTAAGAATTTCCATATTGTCGGGTGATCGGATGACACTTGCTGCAGAAAATCCATATGCCATCTTTCATGGGCGTTATTAGTTCTATGTAAGTCAACATTGAATCTCTCAAAGCAAAACGACATACGTATTTGAAATATAGGCATTTCGAATAATTATCATTTAGTATAATTGTCCTTTTAATCAGTTTTCATTTAAACAATTTACAATTCGAATAAATGTTTTTCGAATAATTGTTTTAAAACAATTTTTTCGATACGGTTATATTGAAGTTAATTTGTGAGTGTATGTGTTATTGTGTTACGACTAAGTCGAGAGGGAGAGGAAAATTTTCATTGATTTCTAAATTTGCAAATAGAACAAGCATTAATATATGTCCTTCTTCTTAGAGTTTTGATATATTTTTTTTTTATCAGAGAACGGGATTTTACACCATTTGTTTTATGCACCCTTGTTACATCCAATCTGATACTTAAAATATGTTAAGTATTTCCTTGTCAAGACACCAAACCCTTTTTAACTGGTTCTAAAACTTTATTACTCATTTCAAACTTATCAGTGTTAATTATTATGAAACCAACGACTCGAAATATAAGCAAAAAAAAAATATCAACAATGCTCAATATGCTGTATCTTAAATATACTATTGCTTCTGTCAGTCCTTCAGCGAATCGCTTTTCTTCAAGAATGGCATTTTCTTAATGTTCTTAAGCTGTGTCACGCCACTTCAGGGGCTCTGGATTTTCTAAATTCATAGCTTATTAGATTTCCTCATTTTTGAAGGAGACCGTTCTTCCGGTCCAATATGATTATATGGAAACAATTGCTAGGACTGCTACCAGAAAAGTTTGTTAACAATGTCTATTTTATATATATATATATATATATATATATATATATATATATATATATATATAAGTCTACCATTCTTCCATACATTGCTGTTATATCTAATATGATTGCCTGGGTGGTTATTTTAGTTCAGGGCATATCAATATCTATATGTTATTTGATGCCGAAATCTGGTTATTTTATAAGTAATTTTATGATTTTTTTGCGGGGGTGGATATCAATGACTTCAGGGATAAAAGTCCTACTAATTAACCCATAGCTAGGGGGTAGAGGAGGTAGTTTCATACCATTCCCTCGGGTAATTGTACGTAAGTGACTATAATGAATCCAACTGGAATTGGAACACGTTGACAATTCCAAACCATTATGCATTACACCAGCCGAGCATCCAAGCACTTGGTATTCCCAAGCGGTCACCCATCTAGGTAGTGACCAGGCCCGACTTTGCTTAACTTCGGGGATCATCCGGTGTTTCGGTTTGATGTGGCCGTAAGACTCATCTGTCCTAGCGCTTAGTGTTATGAATTTCAATATTCTAGATAAAATACAAAAAGTATCTGCAATGTTATTAGGCAGGACCTTTGGGTCCTGTCACTGGATCTAACTAACACCTTTATTCACTGTGCCATGTGTCCGTAAGTGGTTAAGGCGATGGAGAAGTTGAAGAAGGGAATTAACAGGAGATAACTGATAACTGACATCCATTAGACATGGCACGTGGAACTAGAACAGTTTACTCCAGTGAGCTAAATAAACGGTTCAGTTCGACAGTCTAACCACCTGAAGAAAGCCGGAGCGTACAACAGCCGAAACGTTGTAAAAAATATGGCGACAAAGATGAGGACAATAGTCCGAATAATGTAAATAGTGTACATAATACCTCATCTCAGAAATATAGACAGAAACTGAAGGGCCGAAACGTTGTAATAAATATGGCGACAAAGATGAGAACAATAGTCCGAATAATGTAAATAGTGTACAAATTACCTCATCTCAGAAATATAGACAGATACTGAAAGGCCGAAACGTCGTGATAAATATGGCGACAAAGATGAGAACAATAGTCCGAATAATGTAAATAGTGTACATATTACCTCATCTCAGAAATACAGGCAAATACTGAAGGGCCGAAACGTTGTGATAAATATGACGACAAAGATGAGAACAATAGCCCGAATAATGTAAATAGTGTACATATTACCACATCTCAGAAATATAGACAGATACTGAAGGGCCGAAACGTCGTGATAAATATGGCGACAAAGATGAGAACAATAGTCCGAATAATGGAAATAGTGTACATATTACCTCATCTCAGAAATACAGGCAGATACTGAAGGGCCGAAACGTTGTGATAAATATGGCGACAAAGATGAGGACAATAGTCCGAATAATGTAAATAGTGTACATATTACCTCATCTCAGAAATATAGACAGATACTGAAGGGCCGAAACGTCGTGATAAATATGGCGACAAAGATGAGGACAATAGTCCGAATAATGTAAATAGTGTACATAATATCTCATCTCAGAAATATAGACAGAACTGAAGGGCCGAAACGTTGTGATAAATATGGTGACAAAGGTGAGAACAATAGTCCGAATAATGTAAATAGTGTACATATTACCTCATCTCAGAAATATAGACAGAAACTGAAGGGCCGAAACGTTGTGATAAATATGGCGACAAAGATGAGAACAATAGTCTGAATATTGTAAATAGTGTACAAATTACCTCATCTCAGAAATATAGACATATACTGAAAGGCCGAAACGTCGTGATAAATATAGCGACAAAGATGAGAACAATAGTCCGAATAATGTAAATAGTGTACATATTACCTCATCTCAGAAATACAGGCAGATACTGAAGGGCCGAAACGTTGTGATAAATATGGCGACAAAGATGAGAACAATAGCCCGAATAATGTAAATAGTGTACATATTACCACATCTCAGAAATATAGACAGATACTGAAGGGCCGAAACGTCGTGATAAATATGGCGACAAAGATGAGAACAATAGTCCGAATAATGTAAATAGTGTACATAATACCTCATCTCAGAAATACAGGCAGATACTGAAGGGCCGAAACGTTGTGATAAATATGGCGACAAAGATGAGAACAATAGCCCGAATAATGTAAATAGTGTACATATTACCACATCTCAGAAATATAGACAGATACTGAAGGGCCGAAACGTCGTGATAAATATGGCGACAAAGATGAGAAGAATAGTCCGAATAATGTAAATAGTATATTAATTTATGTTCATCTGCTTGTAATTCCCACAAATATTATATCTAAACCTAGAAACCTCTTGAAGTTGCGACACGAAAATATCCAGAAAGCTACTTAGAAACTGCCTGCATACGAATAGAAAAAAGAGTATATACAAAAACAGAAATGGGTGTAAGACAAGGATGTGTTTTCTCAACGGACTTATTGAAACGATACGGCGAGGCTTTTCTGAGATGTCCTACAGGGTTTCATTACTGGCGTTCTATATTATTGCAGTTGATGTTTAATCCTTTCTTCTCGCTTTCCTTAACTACCTTCTGGAGGAGTTTTTCTATCTTTCTTTCTGTGTCTACTAGCGTCACTGTGTCATCTGCATAACTTGTAGCTGCGGAACGGAGATATTCAAAAATCTACTTGACTAATAATGAAAATTTGACTTGCCACTTCCTAAATATTAAGGAGCTAACGTTTTGTGTGTGTTGAAAAATGTATCTACCAATGGAGTTACTATTCTTAGTTAAACAAACATCGCGTATCTCGAGTTGTTTTAACTATTAACGTGAGTGTTGATTCTGTATTAAAGTCGGAGACCATGTTATAATCACTAACATTAATTAAAATAGTAACTGAAAATTTGCTGATTGACAACGAGTTATCAAATTACAAAGGGAGAGAACCGAAAGGGAAATTAGAAGCGCATGTAATTGCGGTCTTGTGGGATCCCAAAAGCATTGTCCAATTAAACATGTTTTAATTAATCCATTTTTGGAAAATGAAAGTTATTAAATATTAAGAGACATTTTTTTCTTCTGAAGAGTACAGCCAAGGGACATAACTGCAGTCGCAAGGGAAAAAACAGTGAGTGACTCGGGACTTTCAAACGATTGTCAAATATTCGAAAATGGTGTGAGAAATGGTGCGTGGTAGTGGCTTGAAATATTTGTCAAGAATTTGCTGGAATATATTTTTTGCTTCTAATGTTTTTTTCACCTTCACACATTAATCTCTATTTATCTCAATCTATCTCTATTTTTTAATTTCTCTCTTTCTCTCTTTCTCTCTCTCTTTATCTCAATCTATCTCTATTTTTGTATTTCTCTCTCTCTCTCTTTATCTCAGTGTATGTCTATTTTTACATAGTTCCTTTCTCTCTCTCTTTCTCTCCCCCTCTCTCTCTCTTTCTCTCTCTCTCTCTCTATCAGAGTCTATTTCTATCTCTATTTTATATCACTTTATTTCATTTTGATATTTCTTTCACTCTTTCTCTTTCTCTCTCTGTCTCTGTCTCTCTCTATCTATCTATCTATCTATATATCAATATCACAGTCTGTATATATATATATATATATATATAGACTGTGATATTGATAAATAGATTTTCTCCATCAATATATTTATTTCTGTAGTTCAATGCTACCAGCAAGCAGAATTTGTTTTTCTCCTGATGATGGTCATGTTGGCCGAAACTAGTCAAGGAATCTAAATGAAATAATAATAAAAACGAAAGAATATTAATATACAACCCAATGTGTCTGAAGATCTTAATTTTTTAATATTTTTATTGTTTTATATATATATATATATATATATATATATATATATATATATATATATATATATATATATATGTGTGTGTGTGTGTGTGTGTGTGTGTGTGTGTATGTATGTATGTATATATACCCCGCATTTCTTTCTTTCTTTCGTTGACTTCATCTCAGTCTATCACTGTCTCTATATTTTCATCCCTCTCTCTCTCTCTCTCCCTCTCTCTCTTTATCTATCTGTCTATCTATCCATCTTTATCTCAATCTATATATCTCTATGTATGCATTACTTTCTGTCGCTCTCTTCATCTCAATCTGTCCCTTTCTCTATATTTGCATTTCTCTCTCTCTCTCTCTCTCCATCTCTATCTCTCTCTCCCTCTCTCTCTCTCTCTCTCTCTCTCTCTCTCTTTATATATCTATTTATTTTTATCTCTATATTTGCATTTCTTTTTGTCATGCTCTTTATCTCAATCTATTACTGTCTCTATATTTACATTTCTCTCTCTCTTGCTCTCTCTTTATCTATCTATCTATCTATCTATCTATCTATCTATCTATCTTTATCTCAGTCTATATATCACTGTATTTACATCCGTAATTTGTTAAGTTGCTTATCATTTACTGAATTTGTTCGTTTATTTAAACTTATGACATCAGCGGTCGACGTAGAGAAATTAAAGTCATATTTAAATTTGTTTATCTGAAAGAAAGCCGTGCGAAGTGATATGCTTAACCATTTCAGAGTTGATACATATATATATATATATATATATATATATATATATATATATATATATATATATATATAGAACACATAGGATCAGTAAATCATTAAAAAGATAAAATGCCGATAAGCAATTCATCATTCCGCTTGGATCAACCTTAATTGTTTTATGACCCTTCGCGCAGAACTCTTCATTGCCAATTCAAGAAAGAAATTCGGATTACTAACACAGAAAATGTCTCATATCGAGAATATTTAACATTGAAAAACAAAAGAAAAAAATTAATTATTTTTAATAATATGTAGAAATCTCCACTTTTACCTGAAGACGGTCACGAGACCAGAAACACGTGTAGTACAATTATGTAAAACAAAGCATAATATTTTTTTCTAAATAAATCCACATTACAACCAAAAACGTTTGCGGCACCTCTCTTCTCTTCTTTTTAATATACATACTTTTCTCTCGTTGGAACCACTACAACCTCTTTCTTTTATATATATATAGAAATTAAGAACATAATTAATTTTGTCATAAATATACTTATGATTAGACAATTACGTAGAAAAATAGACTCTTAAAAATGAACAGTTTAGCAGCAGGGTTAATGTCATGTACACCTCATTGTCTAAAAATGTTGGATTAAATTCATTGAATTTAATTATATGACATTATATAACATTCTTAATATATGATTTTTCATTAATTTTGCAGTATAGAATATTGTTTGCTCTTATTTTATTTTTCTAATGGTAAACTAAAATTGAACATAAGTTTTTAAAAATAACTTAGATGAAAAATACAAGTTATTCATAAGAAAATAAATTTTATCAATATATTTGTTGTCATGAATAACAATATAGAGAAAAATATTAAATTAACTTTAAGTAACAAATAATAGCATTTTTAAATAAATTTCACAGCGCAAAAACAGAATCAACCAAAAATATGTCTATGTTAAAAATGAAACATAATAAAGCATTAAAATTAACTCTTGGGAGACTTTGTAACATTTGTAATAAGAAAGACTAGAAAAAAAAATCGGATTAATAGATTATTTCTTTAGATTAAGTAAAATTAAAATGTTACATTTCAGTAGAAGAAGTGTGGTAAATATTTCTTTTCATTTGTTAGAAACGGAAATACAGATTATGCAAAAATAAAGTTCATCATTAGTGGATTTGCTTTTTTAAATAAAAATTTAATTGAAAGGAACATTAAACTAACTTTTAAGTAAAAAATTAACTTCCAATTAACAAGACCAAGTTTCCTAAATTACATTTTTAGTGAATTTCTCACAAAGTTTGATTTTGCAATGAAACCATAAAATAATATCACAAGGAAAAAATATTTTTTTTACTTACTAACAAGAATTTCTTAAACCATCTAAAGCAGTGACCTACCGCAAACTAAAAATCCCAAACTACCAAAACTAAAAATCTTCGCCTCCAGTAGAAAGAAAAGATTTAAGATAACAGCGAGAGTTGCATTATGACTTGGCCTTTAGTAAATAACGTCATGCTTTGAATTCAGGCAAGTACAATTGAACCGACTAATAGCAGAAATCGATAAAAGGCGCCTTATGCGCGGTTGGCAACTCGACCTACGAGTGGTATAGAAGCCCTCTTTCAACGTCCAGGCTATACTGCTTCACGACCGGTCTCTGAACCACCGTCAGTTCTAATTGAGACTATTTCCTTGAACCTGCAAACGGAACTTTCTAACTTCAGACCCAGTGCCACTTCTTCCCGAAAGTTTTTATTTATCTATTATTTTATTTTTTTTCTTGTCAAGTGCGTAACATTTTTGAAAATCCTCCTTCGTAGAATTTACTGCTGGCATACAAAGACAACACACGCCAGACTCAAATAAACTTACTTAGGATCCACTTGATCCTGAGTGCATCTTACTGGCGTCTGTCCTATTGTGTGACGCAAAAATAATTTTAACCCTTTCTTAATCGAACAGAGAATTTTACTACACTCACAAGTAGTACTTAAATTTCTTATTAATAAATTGATATTGTTAATGAAGGGATACATAAGGTACTTTTCTCCCTTTTGACAGGTAGAATTTAACAGGAAGAATTTACTCATGTTCCAAGAGACCCTTGAGAAACTCGTTACAGATAGTTGTTCTATTGCTGTTCACGGACATGACGTAAGTTATAAGTAATAAACCGAAAAGATACTACAATGTTGTACCGTGTTCCTCTTGGGACGAGGGAGATCGTTTTTTTATTTTTCCCTTCGACATACTGCTTGCTTTCTTATATGTGTTTAAATTTATCTGTGTAAAACAATGTTTTTTTTATGTACTGTATATTTACTATGACTTATATATGTGCTGTATCCTTAAAGAGGTTACAAACAGTCAAAAGTGGTACTCGTGTGAAAGGAACAGCAACACGGACGTAGATGAAAGAAAGAGAGGTTTATTGTAAAAGAAAATACACTACTGAAAGACACTCTTAGGTACGACCTGTGCATACAACATATATTTACTGATATAGTCTGTCCACAATAGGTAATAGGGAGAGTGGAACATTCCATTACAATAATATGTATATTCATTTTCTATATATAAAATACTTTCATGCTTAAGTAATTTTTTGAGTTTATTTTTTGTATTTTTCTAGTTCTTATTTTAAGGTGATAGTGTATCATGGATACACTAATGCCAATAATGGGTCTTGGAGAATAGAAAAGAAAAAGATTTCGAAGCACCCTATTATTAATTTTATTTCTTTATTTCATGTTATTTCTGTTGTTGTTTCCGTTGCTGCTCCCAAATCCTCATTATACGATATTTAATTAGGCATCACAGATCTCAAACCAAAAAAAAAAAAAAAAGAATCCTAAACCTCTGGTAGAAAAAGATAGACATTGTTGTGATGATATAACCCAACTTCCCCATTCACGATAATGGACGGACTGGTTGCCGATTAAGTAGGACCACAGCGGACAGTCAAAAAGTCTTCGTTTGTTAACACCTATTGAGGTTAGCATACTCCCGACTCTGTCTCTGTATTTGACACACCTACATCCGATTATAAACCTATTATTGAAACCCAACACTCGTGTTACTTGTTTTATTATATCTTGCACGAGATATAACAGACACCCAATTATAAGCATAAGTTTTAGTGGGTGCTCTATTGCAGTGACCTTTTATATAACCCTAGATTCCTTTTTGTTTTCGTCTATCACCCGGTTTACACTCCTCCCCATCTATAGAACAAGAGTAGAGGTTTATCCCTTGTTTTTCTGTTTAGGATTGGGGTTTCGCTTCCTTTTAAAATCAACTTCAACTTTATACTTCTAACGTCTCGGCCTGAACTAAACAGTTTATTTATTATTGATTTATTATTTATTTCCTTAATACCAGTCGATAGGTTCGCCTATCGTCCGGTTCACACTCCTCCACAGACCTTTAAACAGGAGTATAGGATTTTCCCTTGTTTGAAGTTTAGGATTGGCTTTCCGGTTCCTTCTAAAGTATTCTCATTCTCTTTCACTCCCAGTAGCCCCCTTGCGTCTTAGTGACATTATCGCCTTACTTGGGGTAAACTGATTTTTAAAAAAAGTTTGAAGGTTCTTGAAATAGTGTCGTGTTTACCAAACAAGGGAGGTTATGTTTTTCAAGTTAACATGTTTACCAATTTAAGTTATTAGGTTTGCCTACGGTAGAGAAATACTTTGCTGGATGCTCTATTGCGATGTCCTTGTGCCAGTTTCAGATAGGTTAGGATGGTTGCCTACTGTAGTGCTTTTGTTTTTCCACAAATCTATTCCTTAGTGAAACGAGATTACGTTTTATTGGGTACACTAACTTACCGACCTTGTGTCAGTCTAAAATTAATTGAGAGTACCTAAATGTGGTTCTCCAGGATGATCCTGAGGATACCATGAACGGAACATCTGAACAACGACGAAATGAAAACAAATAAGAAACTTATACTTAACATTAGGAAGAGGCAGTTTAAATTCCTGGGACACGTAATGCGGAAGGGAAGGAGGTCAGATAACCTCATTTTATACACCACATGACCACCAACTTTTTTTAATAGCCTAAGGAAAGTTTTTTTTTTATTTTTTTTTTTTATTTTGAGGGATAAAGAAAACCGTTATTTCTATTTTATTTTATTTTATTTTATTTTTTACATAATATAATTCCAACACCACAACAGTGGAGGTCGATTTCTGGTTTGGTTTATTTTATTTTGCTTTACAACATCTCAAGCTCTGTGGCTTATTTAATGTCGACAATTTTTACAATAGATTCATATAGAGTTTATGTTTTTACTATAAAAATCTATTTTTATTCTTTCATAGTGTTTTGACCCCAGTTTGGGGGTTCCCTATTTGCCCATAACTTGGACCCTAACAGGTGCTACCACCCGAGGTCAGGGGGGACCTGGAAACAACAGTATCTAAGAGGTGGTTCCACGCTCCTCAAAACCTCCCGATCAAAGGCCTTGCTGCCGGGCGTAGTTTATCGTCATACCCAGGACGAGTCGATATCTGGTGGATCGTAGCAATTGTTGTTCACTGATTTTTGTGAATCCAAAAACTACATTCTCCCCTTCAAAGCTTACACTGTAATATTTGTTATCAAAACCAGTGTCAATCTTCTTGAAATTTGGATTTTTTTTTCACATCGTTTACATGTCTCGTGTACACACCAGGATTAACCTGTTTCGGAAGTTATGGCTGACCCTTTTCTGTCAATAACAAGTGTAAGTTTGAATATATTGGTTTGGTTTGTTATACGGCATATCCACCTCAATGGGTTATTTAATGCCGACAATTTTTTTTCCAAAAATGTATAGCTGTTAATTTTTTTTTTCAAGAAAGTATTGATGGTAATATTTTATCTATT